TGGTGTTCAGCCCCGTTTTTGGAATTGCTGTGGTCTGTTCCGCTGACAGACCCTTTTGCTGACGTTTCTACTAAGCTGAATTGTGACAAGTGCCGGGGCGCACCACGACCCGCATCCCCCCCCTTCATAACACTATTCGTGGTGGCCACGGCCACGTGGTTATCTTTCTGCCCGGTGTTCTGCAGCGCGGCCGGTAATGTGCAAGACATCCCGAAAGATTTGAGAGGGATTGCTGAAGAACTGACTGCCGCAACGGGCGTCAAATAGCGCGTCGTTCGTGTGGTGCTCTGAGAATATTGTTGTACCGGCGGGGGGGGGGACTCGGGAATCCATCGGCGTTGCGTTGGGGGCCAAAGCGGAGTTGATCGGCGAGGAGCGCGATTTCCCGACGGACTTCGGGCGACGGAAAGATTGCGAAGACCGCGCGCCGTTGCCACGGCGGCCCCGCTCGGTCTCCAACCAGCAAGGTGTTGTCTTAAAAGCATCAAGGGTAGCGGTTGATTGTGGCACTTATTAACCAAAGGCCTTGCGCTTGCGTTTTGGTAAAATAATCTGTGTAAAGAGTGTTTTCTATTATTCAAAATATTTAAATGCACAAAAGAATTTCTTATGAAATCATTTTCTGCAGCGCCAACCCCTTGGAAGCCATTCAACAAGAAAATGTACCTGTCCTTTGTATAATTTATTTTTGCGTAGAAGTACCGAGCGTTCCCAGGTATCTCTAATATATAGTATAATATTCTAAGTGGTATATTAGTATGCGTAAGATACTAATTTAAGTAGTATAGTATATATATATATATATATATATATATTAATAGGGATATAATTTGCCTGATCATTGAAGAGTCTGTAAGATCATATCTATATCGGTTTCTTTTATCACATCATCATGTTCATTTTCTCACTTTTTGCGAATGTCTTTTATAGTAAACATCTAAACCATCCATATGTTACGTAAACTTCTGTAAACATAACTTGAAGCACGCATCTCAAATTTACATTTCACGCTCTTCTCTCTCACGCTCTTCTGAGAATTTCCTCTATGTCTGACCCATCGTAACCATCCCCCTGCTGGTTATCTCTCCTGCATTATCATTCGTTGGTCCCCAGTTGCTTCGTGTATCTTCCGTCCTTGACCATTTTACCCACCTGTTGCATTCCAGTTTCACCAAGTCGTACTTAGCGCAGCCCCTTTCTCACAGCCTCTCATTACTATTCATTACTCCGGCACAATTTGTATTTTTATTTTTCCAGCCTTCATTTTCTTTATGTCCAGCTATATTACTCACGATAGGTCGGCAATTACTTTACATACACGCAGATATAAGTTTTTTTTTAACATCGACAATGAAACAGCTTATTCAACTTTTTCTCGATTTGCAATTGTTACATCTCAAATGCTTGGTGTTTTAGTCTCAATCTGCAGTTGGATAAAATCGCTTGGATACTTTTAGCAGTCTTATTATCGGGGGCTCGCCACCAGCCGGCCTTTTTACGGAAATAGAGTGCCGTTTTCAAAGTGCACGTGAAAATTCTGCGCGCTGTAAGATGAATTCGACATGATTCTATGCACCGTTTTTCTGTTTTCTTCAATTGAGATTGAAGAAAAATTGATATTAAAATGGTTAGCTGGAGTAATAACGAGTGACTTTTCTTTACGCGAGGCAGGTTGAAGGAAAGAGAATCGATCATATCTTGTAATTGTGGGTTTCAGAAGAAATCATGGTTGAACAGTTAGTGACGAAACAAAGCTTATTTTGCTTTATTCGTTTTATTATTTGGTGATGAGGGATGTGGACGACAGTAACTGCAAGATCTGAAACATTTGAAGTGAAATCGAGTCATCCGAAATTTTGCAAGGCTAAAGAACCCTTGCACCACTTTTTGCACAGTTAGAGCAGTTTACATGGTGAGTACCAAATCCTTCAAAGTAGTTTCCTTTTCGAGCTCTCAGCATTCGAAAGATAAAGTGATGCATTAGACAGATAATGTATTACAAATAGTTTGTTTTCCGTTGAGATAACCTATTTGATTAACGTGTTAATCTAATTCTAACTCTATCGGGTTTTGTGGAAGAACCGTCATCATTATTTAAATGTTTGTTAATTATTGAGAATTAATAATAAGTTGCTTTACAGTGAGATAATCATAGTTCGATTGGAGCTGGATGAATTCTTTCGTCGCTTTGTTACGGCATCACTGGTCACCAAGAAGAGAGAAAATGTTCAGAGGCTGACAACACTGGCAGTAAGCAACATAATTAATCTTATAATAATAATGAAATACATGATAATGATAGATAACACAACACAATAATAATCAATGAATAATAGACACAACACACGACAACCAGTATGATAATTAATATATTAAGTTAATGATTATCTGGAGTGAAAAATAGATAATAATCATGTAGATCATAATTTGTTGGAAGTGGATAATACCGATATTAATGTACATAATGATAGAGATACATATGATGATAATATGAAATATATAAAATATATAATATAAAAATATTTGTTTAATTGCTTATAACTGACATAAAGAATAGCAAAGGTCAGAACTAGAAATTAATTAAAATACAGTACAGGTTATTTCATTAACTTTCAGTTAATAATATACATATATATATATATATATATATATATATATATATATATATATATATATATTGAGGAAACAAATTTCAATTTATTTATCTCACTACGAAAGGACGACCAAAGAAAGGAAATAGATGCACTTACATTGCAACAGGTACTCGTGGGGCTAACATTCATGTCATCTGATGTGTAGGGAATACGGGACTGGTTCATCACGAAATAAGAAGAGGCGTTTTGGAGAATGTGAGAGTGCGGAGAATGGAGAATGCGAACATGTTCGTCCGTCACGGCCTGCGCGCTGCTCACACGTACCAATCACAAGTAGTATTACTGGTAGTCAATGCTCCTTGCCATAGTAACACCGAAAAATTATTTACAGAGGAAGAATTTCGTACCCATCATTTACTTAGATTAAGTCCTTACAGCCCGTAAGGTAACCCTATTGAGTTTCCTTATTCCAGTTTAAAAGCTGCTGTAAAGCAAAATCTGTCAGTGCAGTTACCACGAATCTTAGCGAATGAAAACAGGGTCAACACAAACGGAGTTTCGTTTTCGACAACTAGAAGAAATTATACATGGAAACATTCATGCAATAAATATTAATAATTATGCTAGGTATAAAGTTCATATTCAAAGATTCATCCATGATGCGCTAAATTTACTTCATATGCAAAAGTAATTGCATCAGTACATAATTGCGAAAGAGAGTCATGATTGTATTTTATTCCTGACTAAAACATTAATCATCGTTCTGAATTAAACAACCGTTTTTGAGGCGAAGTATTATGAACAATATTGAATAAAGAAAATGAGAAAGTGTGATTATCGTAGGAAGATGCATTAAAATTCGCAAATTGTATGCCATTTGTTTAACAGTTTGTGTAGTGCACTAATTATCATTTTTTTAAACTAAGAAGTTGCTGAATTAGGTCAGCACGAGTTATATTACTTTGTTCTTTCATGGTTTGATATGAAGCTTGGTATGCATATTGTTACATAGTATCAGGCACATTGTCATGCATGTCAAATACAAATGTAATTTGTATTTATTGTCACTTAATTTTTGGTTTGTCTATTAGGATATTCGAGATCGCTAAGGCAGTAGTATCAACTCAATTTTAGCTTAATCTAATTGTATAGTTGATGAGTAAGGGTTTTGACATATCTAACTTGAAACAATTTGTTTTCTTAACAAATGTTCCAAAGGATTCTTGCTTCTTTCTTGGCAACATTTATACATTTTTTCATTCTTGCATCATTTATACTTGATTCATTATATACATAACCATTAATTCATCCCATTCATTCACACTGCACTGCACTACAATTAAAAAACGAAACACACTGTTTGCCACGGCGCTGACGACTGAAAGTGTCCGTGGCCCGTTGGGAGGTGTGGCAGGTGCGGTGCGGCGACCCTCAGGACACCGCACGACCCTCGGCCGATGACGCGTCTTCCCCTCCACATTCGGCTGCCTCCGCTTTCTCGCACAAGGTAACAAGCGTGTCGTGGGGCATCGCACGGAAGGTCATGGCGACGTGATTCGATCCTTTTCGTAGATAGGACAGATGTGTGTCGCTGTTCGCCTCTCGGCCGGTGTCACGCAGGACGCGCGGCGCCTTGAAATCCAGTGCCCTTGAACGTGCGGTTGCCGAACGCCTTTGAAGCTCCGGCAAGAATTGTTTTTTCCAACCAGAACTCCAAACACGCCGGTGTGTCTGGGGTGGGAGAGGTGGGATTAGGTGGGGGAGGAGGTGTGGGAGGGCCGCTAGGCTCGCCGTACCGTTTTCCGGCGAACGAATCGGACGGAGGGTGAATGGAGGTGCCGCCGCTGCGAATACCTTGTGTGGCGTCTTTGCC